AAGGATGTGGGCGAAACAGAAATGTGGTGGGCGGGCGAGACATGCCTTGATCCTGGTGGTAATATTACTGCTGCTTCAAGGTCAGTACAACTGGTCTCAACTCAGACTCGTCCTTATACAACATTATTGAAGGTCTTACATCAATAGAATTTGTATGTAATTGCTAAGTAATGGCACTGATAATGACTGGTAATGACACCGGTAATGGTACTGGTAATAGCCCTAGTAATGCTAATTCTAGGGAAGATTAAATTTACAGAGAAATAAGGTAATGGGCAATAAGCAGATTGGAATGTTGCAGAATAAAATAGTCTAACTCTGCAACCCAGAGAGAGAGAGAGAGAGAGAGAGAGAGAGAGAGAGAGAGAGAGAGAGAGAGAGAGAGAGAGAGAGAGAGAGAGAGAGAGAGAGAGAGACGAGACCTAGCTAGCTCCCGTCCCAGCCAAGACTCCTCACCAAGCCCTTCCTAACTCCTCGCTATTGCAGTTTAAAAGTCCGGCTAGTTCTCCCCCTAGTTCATCAGGCTTTGCCATGGGAACGCCACCATGTGCTCACTCAGAGAGCCGAGATTCCCAAACCAGGGTCAGGATATCAGGGATTAGCACTTCTAGATACTGATGTCGCAAATGGGATATCTCACACTGGCCGCAGGGGCGGTGACCCCCGGAAACGACTACGGGTAACATACTGTGAGTGGATATATGTGAAAGAAAGAAAAGGGAAAAGGGAAAGGGGGTGGGGGAACGGAGAGAGGAGCGGTTGCTTACAGGATGTGGGTCAGTTTATAATGGCTTCAGGGCTGGCGAAGTCTCGACCCCATGGCTTGCTGCTGCTGCTGCTGCTGCTACTGCTGACGCCACAAAGTACAGTAGCCTAGCGAGTGTAAGTTTTGCTAAGTGTGAATCACCGTGTGTGGCAAAACACTGTTCATGATCACGTCTCACAACAACAATGTTCAATAAAACGTCTATCTTATCACTGGAACACCCTCCAGGTAGACTCCACACTACCTTCCATAACATTTGCCACTACACCTTATCCTCCACACTGCCTTCCATAACACTGTCACTACAACATCTCGACTCTGAACTATGAACAATAAGCTCGTGGCAAAAAAGTGACATATAAAAAACGAAAACAACACAATACCATTGGCTGGAACAATATACATATATCCCGCACATGTGCGGGTTGTATGTGTATTGACATCGATGAGATCCTGTCTTCCATATCCGTCAGGAACCCGCCCCCGACCTTCTCACGGATTCTCCTCCCCTCCCTATATAATGCGACCACAGGCAGGTACTGTGCTTAATCTACATTACCTCTAGCGTAGTACTCCCCCACCACCACTCTGCTCTACTTGCAGTAATTCTTTACCCCGTTACACCCCCTCCCTTGTAATACCGAGCCACACTCACCCCCTCCCTTGTAATACCGAGCCACACTCACCCCTCCCTTGTAATACCGAACCACACTCACCCCCTCCCTTGTAATACCGAGCCACACTCACCCCCTCCCTTGTAATACCGAACCACACTCACCCACTCCCCTGTAATACCCAACCACACTCGCCTGTTCAACAGCCTCCCACCAGCCATACCTGGAGGTTACCTGGAGGTTATTCCGGGGATCAACGCCCCCGCGGCCCGGTCCATGACCAGGCCTCCCGATGGATCAGAGCCTGATCAACTAGGCTGTTACTGCCGGCCGCACGCAGCCCAACGTACGAGCCACAGCCCGGCTGATCCGGCACTGACTTTAGGTATCTGTCCAGCTCTCTCTTGAAGGCAGCCAGGGGTTTATTGGCAATTCCCCTAATGCTTGATGGGAGGCTGTTGAACAGTTTTGGGCCCCGGACACTTATGGTGTTTTCCCTTAGTGTACCAATGGCGCCCCTACTTTTTATTGGCGGCATTTTGCATCGCCTGCCCAGTCTTTTACTTTCGTAGGGAGTGATATTTTGCATTTCTTTTAATTTCACTAATAGCTTTAAGCTCCTCCTGGTTCCTGTAAGTGTCATTTAACTTAAGTTCAATAGTTTCCACTTCCCTGGTCAGCGCCTCCTTTCGTGTATCAGATATTCTAGCACTCCTGAGGAGCTCAGTGACTCTTCGTCGTCTTCTGTAGAGTGGAATTACCAATAGACCCCTGGTTGTCTTCAAGAGGGAGCTGGACAGATGCCTCAAGTCAGTGCCAGATCAGCCGGACTGTGGTTCGTACATTGGACTACGTGCGGCCAGCAGTAACAGCCTCGTTGATCAGGCCCTGATCCATGGACCGAGCCGCGGGGGCGTTGATCCCCAGAATGCCCTCCAGGTAGGTAGACCCCCTCCCTTGTAATACCCAACCACACTCACCCCCTCTACTGTACATCCAATCACCCTCACCATCCTCCCTCTCCCACCATTTAATGCCAATAAACTTCAATTTTGGAGTGTGTCCAGTCTTCCCATACAGCATTTTATAGACTGTGCTTCAGTGCCTCTCGTTGTTCAGTAAAAGAATCCTTGATTCTCAACAAAATGCCTGGGTTTGATCCTGGGGCGGGTGGAGAGGTGAATATCTTTTCGTATTCCTGTTATCCCTGTTCACTCTGATTTTTTTTTCATTTTTGCACCAAAATAAGCCTGCAGCCTGAGTTAACTTGGATAAATCTCTCTTGTCAGCCTTCGTTAAAAACTCTAATGTCAACGGAATAGTTTTTTTGTAATGCCTCAGCTAGCTTTCCCTTCGTAATACAAAACATGAACATGTATACAACTTGTTTGGTTAAACAATCATTGCCGAGTAAGCCAGGTCGATAAAGCACAACATTTACACTCAGTCTTTGGTGTTGATAACTCAGTATTCTGGTGCATGTCGAAACTTAATGGGAGAACTAAGCACTGTTGTTCTTCCTTCGCTCTCCGAGCTTGACAAAGCTCCTGGAGAGCAATACGTTGCAACAATAAAATGCCACATTAGTTGTACCTGTGTCTGTTTGCTTGTGGTATTGGTGTTGATATGTAGTGATTGGCGGTGGGAGGTAGTGTAGTGACGTTAGAGGTGACAGTGTGGTTGGCAGGTGGGATGGTCGTGCACAGGCAGTGATACGTGTAATATAATTGTACAAAGAAAGGTATAAAATACCGACAATATGAAAGTTAAGACACATGTGCAACATCTGGATATCTTTATTGTAGTAGACGTTTCGCCATCCAGTGGCTTTTTCAATACAGATCTGTATTGAAAAAGCCACTGGATGGCGAAACGTCTACTACAATAAAGATATCCAGATGTTGCACATGTGTCTTAACTTTCAATATAATTGTAATACTGGCTGCCTCTGATACCCCTTGTTGTGTATGTGTATCTTGCCACTTCACGTTCCCAGTATTCGTCACACATGTAGGTGAGGTTGCCGCTGGTGCGATTATCACCGTCGTGTGTAATGTGATACTGTCCTCTCTCACCAACAAAGAGAACATAAGAATGGAGGAACACTGCAAAAGGCCTACTGGCCCATACAAGGCAGGTCCTTATCAAAAGCACCCCTTCCCAAAGTTACCAAAATTTTTACTCCTGTACCCACACACCTCTTAAACCCAGCCCCTCCCACTCATATATTTGTCCAATCTCTTCTTAAGCTACCCAGGGTCCCAGCCTCGATTACCCAACTCTGCTGTGTTCATGTTGTTCCTTTCACTGAAATCACTGACCTGCAGACGCATCCCTCTACACAGTGCAGTACTGCAGTGAGATGACAAAATGACATGACTGTCGAAAGTCTGAGGACAATGTTCACTTAGAACACTTCAGTGAATGTGTTTATTCCCCCTCCCCGCAGTCCAGTGTTATCTTATGATGTTATTTAATGATCTTTTCGGTGATATTAATTGTCATCCATCACACACCAGGACAAAGATGCGTACCAGAAACATTTTGGAATATTTTATACCCTCGTCGCCTTACCGAATTCTTCAAGCTCAATCCGACAGATTTCATTAATTCAGGCATGCAGCACATCCTGTGTACTGGAATGTGACACTGAAACATAACTAGTGTTATGATGAATGGTTTGGAAAACCGACAAGTTGAAGATTGAGACACTTATGCAGCATATGGGAATCTTTATTCAGGAAACGTTTCGCCACTGAAGCCACTGTGTGGCGAAACGTTTCCCGAATAAAGATTCCCATATGCTGCATAAGTGTCTCAATAACCATAACTAGTGTTAGTTACCACTGTGTGGTTCATCACACAGTACAAGTGAATATTAAAATGGTATACAATACCGACAAGTTGGTAAGTAAGACACAGGAAACATTTAGGCATTTTTATTCCGAAACGTTTCGCCTACACAGTAGGCTTCTTCAGTCGAGTACAGAAAGTAGGCAGGAGCAGTAGAGATGTGAAGACGATGCAATCAGTCTATCACCCTTGAAGATGTAGATTTGAGGTCGTCAGTCCCTCAGCCTGGAGAAGAATTCTGTTTCATAGCCTGAAATAATGTACATGTATAGGGAAGCCGCACCTTGCGGGTTCCCACGGTTTAACCATATACAATAGGGTAGTCGCGACTACACTGTTTCCATCCCATTGGAATTTCGGAGCCCCGGCTTGCGCGGATAGTCTGCAGGATGTGTGTGTGTGTACTCACCTATTTGTGGTTGCAGGGGTCGATTCATAGCTCCTGGCCCTGCCTCTTCACTGGCCGCTACTGGGTCACACTCCCTGCACCATAAGCTTTATCATACATCTGCTGAAAGCTATGAATGGATCATGTCTCCACTACATCGCTTCCCAAACTATTCCACTTCCTGACTACTCTGTGACTGTGTTAGTTAGTTACCATTCTGTCCTAGCCACATGTCGATTAGACACTAGGCCTATTGTATATGTTAGTTACCAGTTGACAAAGGCGCTTGTCGTGTGTGTGTACTCACCTAGTTGTGCTCACCTAGTTGAGGTTGCGGGGGTCGAGTCCGAGCTCCTGGCCCCGCCTCTTCACTGATCGCTACTAGGTCACTCTCCCTGAGCCGTGAGCTTTATCATACCTCTGCTTAAAGCTATGTATGGATCCTGCCTCCACTACATC